TGCATGCTTGATCTACCAGCGCTGTATGCTTGATCTACCAGTGTTGCATGCTTGATCTACCAGTGTTGCATGCTTGATCTACCAGTGTTGCATGCTTGATCTACCAGTGTTGCATGCTTGATCTACTAGTGCTGCATGCTTGGTCTACAAGTGCTGCTTGATTGATGCCTTGGCAGGGCATGCTTGTTGTACCAGCGGTACATGCTCCCAGTCCCGCTTGCATATGTATTGTGTTCTATCGCTGCGTGCTTGGATTCTTATAGCAATGCATTCCCGATATACCAGTACTGCAAGGTTGGTGCTTTAGTAGTATACATAATACTTGCGTGTCCCAGTGCTAAATTCTTGTGCATCTGTGATTTAATGGTACACGATCAGTGAAACAGCGCATGCGCGTGGAACAGATTTTTCCAGCTGGCTATCCTGACGTGCCATACCCCAAACATTGCTCTAAGCATTACTCCCCCACCGTCCCGATAAATTAATGAGAATGCAAATAAGCCAGAAAGGTCTCCGCGTGCTGCTTGTGGTTATTTAGCGCATTCGCCAGCACACCTGCACAGCTTACGCTTAATTAGAACTCAGTAGCTCAGAAAACCGATTGCTGCCGCTACAATCGCTGTTATGAAAAATTCCCGTCTTTTTTCGTCTGTATCGACGTCTGTGGCGGTATTCATGTACGCCCATTACCCACGCACGCACTCACACACGTACACACAGACGCACACACCCATTTTCACAAGCGATTTTTGCTTAAACAAGTATATCAAGTATATTTATAGTGGCCAGTCTGAGAGCAATTTTCGCTACGAACTCATGCGAGTGCATGCGGCATACCTTTTGTAAAGCATTAACTGGATTCAAATTTTACCCCGACGCTAAAGTTTTATGGACTTCGTGATATGTTTGTAATTTTTCATGTTTGTTTCTGTGGTCATAATCGTTTTACGTGTGTGGGGAGGCATTTAGGCATACAATAGGAAGGCATGCAACTTGTTAGATGAAACATTTATCCGATTATAAACTGCGTTTGTTTCTCCGTGTGCAGTGCATGCTGTGTCAATATACGATGCCACCACCGAGATCCAATATACACACCTACTTCAAAATCACATTTGCTTTTTAAACTTGGCATTCAAACACATATTCAGCATGCAGGGTCCTTTCGAATTCATACTCAATCTCTTTAACGCTATATCTATATACACGTATAAATGTGTGTGGGTGTGTAATGCATAGATATCGCTTCGTATATTATTCTAATTCTCATATATTTACCCTTTTCTTAATTTTAACTTCGCCAACTATCAATATTTCTGACGCGTCCTAGTCATGTTTACACAGTGATTGCGGCTCGTGTTTTGACAGTAATCGTATTTCTAACGCGCATTTTCTCTATTGATAGGAAAGCACACGCAGGCCATAGTTGACATGTCATCGCAATCATCGTCAACGTCGGCGGCGGTGTCGCTGTCGGGCAGACTATACACTGTCGTCGCGGGGTTGCTGTTGTCGCTGCTGCTGACGGCTGTGCAGAGAGGCTGCTTCCTTCGGTCGGACAGTTCTACGCCGACACGCGTCAGAGGAAGGCCCGCCGGTACTGTGAGGTGCTGTCGCAGCAATTGCCAACGGCTCCGGTCAAATATAAGTGCAATTTCGTGGAGCAAGCGCGAGGATAGGCTGCTGACGTCACGCCGGGTCGCTGACACTGCTGCTGATTCTACAGCCGATGACGTGGTGTCGGCGATAAGAGACGTTGTAAGCGAATCGGCCGATACTAAGTGGAGAATAAAGAAATCAAGCGTACCAGATATCAGTTACTAGCACCTTTTTTTTAAACACCGTAGATATACATATATGATGCACCATGTTATTTTTGTAAATATATTTATGCGATTATGATTTATTATTAGTAGCACGTAATCACTTTCGCTCGCAACGTTCCGCGAAGCGCCGCATAAATTAATGATAATCTAAGACATTTATTATGTACCATGAAGTCAAAGAGGGATGGTCCAGCTTCCGTAGAAGCTGAGTTCAAAACAGGCACAAGCAAATGCAAATGCAAATGCAAATGCAAGCTTTATGATATTCTTGACGATAGCACGTGGAAGGAGTGCTAATGTAAAATGTAGTAATGTACATGTGATATGTTTAGATACCGCTTTTTGGTAACGTGTACATATGCCCACCGTGGCGAGATGCGAGTCAGTTTGCGGCTATATTTACCTTGAGATTAGAGTATAGTAAATTGAGAGAAAACATCATCAGCTTGTTTAACCTATTGCATTTGTTCTCTGTGTTAGCGAGATATATCGTCGTGGCATTCATGAGCATTGTATACACGCGTAAAGAAAATAGAGCAATGAGAGGCGATATGGATTTTTCAAAGCCGCAATTTGCTCGTCAGGCAATGTATAACCATGCGCGCTCCCTGCAGCTATGTCCATCCCCTGCATAACTTGCTAGGCAAAGCATGAAACTGTAGCGAGGATATTTCATACTCGATATAACCAAGAAGGGCGAACGCCATACAGGTTGGTGGTACGGTTCTAAACTAATTTTAGTTATATTTCGGCCGCGGATAAACGATGACGTTCCTGCATGGTGCGGTGTACGGTGGCGTCGTTTGCGCGCAAATGTTCACTATCTACATGTTGCAATTGTTTCTTACGACGTCATACATTGGGGTTCGTGAAGGTCATTACTCATGAGATTCGTGGCGACGAGTGTTTTGCCTTCGCGCGCGAAGTGCTTAGATGCTGTGCTGTCGTGAGAGACGGAGGAATCACGAACGAAGCTGATATGAATAAAAATATACGCCTTGTCGTTTCACGGGACGGTCAAGTCGTGCGTTTGTTAGCAACTTGGTTCTTATTCATATATGGACAAAGGTTGGAAGGCTAACCGAATGTTGTCAATCTCTCACAGCCTTCGCGTTCTCCCTTTCTGACATTTTTCGCCCCTCGATTCTCATATCCCGTATTCCCACCTTTACCTACCCTCGCCTTTCTCGCCATTTAATACATCACTAAAAATTGTTAATCGGAATGAAAATTCTAATCATATTCGTAATCACCGAGCGTAACCAAATGCTGTATACATATATGCATAGTAATGTAATACACTATGGTATGCTATCATTCTACTCGTGGCGATCACGAGTAAGAGAAAAGCAATTTGAAAATTAAAACCGTTAGTCGCATTCCGTTTCTTTCAATCAATAGCACCTGGATGGAAAAACGTAATGGCGGACCACCTGCCATTGCGAATACCACATTAAAATCGCAAGCGCCTTGCCACATCGACGTGTTCATTATTAATAGGTCTCCCAAAGCAATCACGTTGGCCTGCAAGCGAGGCGTTCGCAGTCATTATCGGCGTGTAAACAATAGCGTTACTCACGCGTACACCTACTGTCCCGACTGCTATCCTATATAGCGTATAGCGCATAAAATCTTCGTTTGTTATCGTTACACCTTTTTAGGCTTCATATCGCGTATGTTCAGCTTCCGCCATCATTTGAAAACGCAAGCTGTGAAAAGCTTAGAACTGTTAGCTTTGTACTGTTAGAAGCTGCAATGTTTCCGATGAACAAGTACGACATTCTAGCGTCGAATATTCACAAGGACGAATATTTACCGGAAGGACAATGATTGTCAACGTCATTGTCAATTTAAAACCAATATGCAAAACATTCCCAACAGCGGTATAAAATCCAATTTGTTGCGGTGGCACATAAGAAGCACTCGATAAAATTCTTTGTGATATACATCACATTTTATGTTAAATATTACATTAGGGGAGGCTCAGTTGTAGACCACTGCGATTATATATGTATCGCCATTAAACACACATTTATGTTACGAGCGATTTCTATCATCTATATCAATGTTTCCTGCCAATCACATAAAGGAATTACTGTCCCGCATATATAGTAGAGACTAAAGGTAAGGGTATTCGTAAATTTTTAACGGCACGTTTGACGTCTATTGTTGTCAGATAAAGTGAAACTGAAATATACCTTCAGAGAAACTATCCCAGACGTTATTTAAACGTAATAGACACCACCCGGGCTATTTTCTGTAACATAGTCAATGCTTAACAACAGCAGAATATACGTATAAAAATCAGAATACGAGAGTGTGACACTTTACCAACTGTTGTGTACACAAGGTCGTAAGAAAATGTAAAGAAACGGGCGCCTCCACAACAATTGTGATATCATTGTAAGCAGTGCAAGGAAAACGATTACTCAACAACTAGTAGACATGCTAAGTGTTTTTTGACTTCAACTCATGCTACAAATGGCCCCTTTGGCATAGGAGTTCCTTAGAACCCTA